AACAGCTTGCCTAGGATCGAGGTAAGACTAACTGGCCGATTTGGGGGACTGATACTGATAGATGATTTTTAAGGAGGCATATCGACTGATAATGATTCAATTTCCAGTACAGCTTCATCCAGCTAGTCAGTCTGTTGTGGTGGAAGGGGAGGTGGGAGGAAAGAGGGGGAAGAGGCAGATCAAGGCCCCTGTGGTAAGGGAGGAGTGGGGCTGGGGATGGGGCTGAGGCTGAGGCTGAGGCAGGCACTTCCCAGCAGGGGCAAATTGGGGCACAGGACAGAGCCACGGCTCATCTGGGGGGTGCAGGGAAGGGGGGCACAGCTCCCACTGCTGTGCACACTTCAGGAGGGCATGTGAGGGTGAGGCATGTGCCCCTGTATCTGCATGGGAGGTGTGTGGGGGCTTCAGCTGTGTGCTGGGGCTGGAACCAGGGCTACACTGGGCTCTTCCTGGTGCATGGGGGGAGGGTTGGGTCAGGCTGTGCTTGGGGATGGTGGTGGTGGCACTGGGAAGGGGCTATGAGGGGGGGCTGCAGCCACCCCAAATTTTGCCAAAGCCCCCGCCCCCATAGTCACCCTCCCAGTGCCACTGCTGCCTGCCCCTTGAAGAGCCCAGGCCCAATCTTCCCCCCCCCCACATGCCAGGAAGAGCCTGGAACAGCCCTGCCCCCAGCCCACAGCTGCAGCTCCCCCCATCCCCACACTCAGATCCAGGGGCATGTGACAGGCTAGCTGGCAGTGACCTAGCCCAGGGGTTTTGAAAGGGCAAAAGATGATTGGAGGACTTCAGATTCCCTTTCTGCATCAATCAGGCCCCAGAGACTCACCCTCCATGTCCCATGATTGGCCCCTTGGGTCACCTGGAGGGGGATAAAAGGCGCAGCGCAGCTGACTCAGGGGAGACCAGAGAAGCACCACAAGGAAGGATCTTCAAAGAGCTGGCAAGAGCTGAGCCAGTGGGGCAGGAGGAGTTGCCCCAGAAGAACCTGAAGGAGCAGGACCTGCAGGCAGCAGTTGGACCCTCAGCCGTGTGGCGTGTGGCAAGCAGGAGAGGCTCCCTGCTGGGCTCCAGGATCCCCTATGAGAGGCTGCAGCCAGCAGGAGAGGCTCCCGAGCTCCAGCAAGGATCTGAGCAGGGACCTGAGAGGTTCCCAGCTCTGCTTCCAGCTCTTCCAATCAGAGGCCAGGCAGGTCAACCTGGGCTCCGGGTAGGTCAAAACCCCTTGCAGCCTACAACAGCATCAGCACTGGTGGCTGTGTAGCAGCATTTCTACCTACCACATAGAAGATCTGAGTTCAAGTCCTAGCTAGGATGACTTAGAGTGAGTAAGCTTCCAAGAAATAACTTCTCTTGCAGTGGAAGGGAGCCATTGTGTTTTTCTCCCCCTCCAGGTAGCTAGGCCCTATATTTCCTTGTCATTTGACATTTTGTATTTTGTGCCTTTTTATATTTCACCAACCCGTATTGTTTGTTCTGCTGTTTGTGTTTTATACTTTCTTAACCCTGTCTTTTGTCAATGATTGTAAGTGTCTAACCTTTGTTGAATCCTGCCCCCTGGGGGCACTGTAGTGTCCACTATACCCTCTGTTTTATGCCTGTTATGTTCCCAGTATTGTTCCCTCATTAAAAGGTATATGGTTAAGTTCCCATCCGTGGTCTGGCTCTGCTTTATAGGGGAAGGAGAGTCCCTACACCTCCCAGAGTGCTTGCACACCTGCTTTGATCCCTTCAATTGGAGAGGGGGTATTTCTTGGAGTACTGCCCGGGTTACAGGCATGCCCTCCCATGGTGCACGCAGTGGCTGGAGCCACCCCCCCACCTCATGCCCCCTGGATGAGCCGTGGCTCTATCTTGCACCCTGCCCCTCCCCAGCTAGGCAATGCCAGACCCAGCCCCACTCCCTCCCTCACCAAGGAGGACACTGATCTGCCCCCATGCTCCTTTTCTCCACCTTCCCCTTCCACCACAACAGATTTACCAGTTATACGTATTTCTCCAAGCTGCTGGACTGTGCTCCTTACTGTCTGCATGCTGTGTGGCAGCTGTGCGCATGGACAGGCATTTGTCAGCCAAATTATTGGCCACATCAGGCTGATTTCAGATACAAACAATTTTCTTTATATCAGTGCTAATCTGATATTGGACCGATGTATCAGTCCACCTCTATAATTTAGCCTTGTCTGAAGTACAAAATAATCATACAGATATGTTGGAGTTGTCATTATTTCCTATTGTTTGTTTTATTTTTAAGCCAATATTAGATTCCAGAAAGAAAACTATAATTTAAATTTTACTATAAGTGTTAACTATGTAATGTTAATGACTTAATTTCAAGTTTCTAGATGCATCCCACATTCACATACTGAATATACAAATGAAATTTTCAACTTCAATAAAAGGAAGAATGGTCCAGTGTTTACAGTCTGAGACTCAGAGGAATCAGATACATTCCCTGCACTCCCAGAGTCTTCTTTTATGACCTTGGGCCAATAACTTCCTTTCCTAGGCAGAGCTCTCTATCTGTATGGGGAATAATTACTCCCCTTTCTCTTGTGGCTGTTGTGCAGATAAATATACTGAAGAGCTGAGAGACAATTAGTTTGAGACTATATAAGTATCTAGGACTGAAGAGAATTGGACAGTCAAGTTGCATAACATTCATGTCCATGCCCAAATGGTATGTACCATACTACAAGGAAATATGTTTTTTCTTCATCTTGCTTTTCCAAAACAAGGTGTATATTATATGGGAGAAAATATATAAATCTTCACACCCACAAAATCTGCATTTTTGCAATTCAATTAGTGAAGCGTAAATGACATGTTTCAAACACATTCAGCCTTACAAATGGAAGTGTACTGCTTGAATGGACAAGGAACCTCTCATATGTTATCCTCAAAGGTCGAGTGATTTGGGCATTTACCCAGGCAGTGAGACACTCCAATTCTAAATCTTCAACCAGTGAGATTATCCAGTTCCTTGTAGGGTGTGGACAGACCCAGGCCAGATAGGATCAATTGCAAGGCTGGGTCAGCACCACTCCCCTCCCCAACCTGTCATGCCAGAGCTGGATCAGCACCTCTCCTCTCCCTGCTGCACTGGATCAGCACCACCCCTGCTTCCCCCAGGTTCTAGTCTGAAGCCTTGCTCCTAATGGAACAGAAATTTCTCATTACTCTCCATCCATTTTATCCAATGGATATTATAATTAAAGGGCAGTAGCTTATCTTCAAAAGAAGGGCTCTTCCATGGAGATCCCACCTGCCTATCCCTATGATTCATCTGGTGCTTTGACAGTGGGGCTACATCCGGAGGCAGTGGTGGCACTGGCAGCAGCACCTGGAAGGAGCTGCCACCCCCAAGGCTGCCAGAAGCTGAGTCTAGATGCTGTGCTACTCCCCCTCCATCCTCTGCATGCACCACAGCCTGGGGTGCCCTTCATACCTGGGCTGGGTGGGGCTCAAAGACCTGCTGTGGACCAGAAAGAATCACTTGGTGGGCATGATCTGGCCTTCAGGTCATATTTTGCCCACCACTGTCATAGCACCTTTAGAGTCAGCTGAGAGCCAAACCCTAATTTGGCTGCCTGGACCCTCTTCTCACACTAATAGGCATTGCTGTCTGCCTTCCCTAACTTGGAAGGAGAGACCAGGCATCCAGACACTAGCAGGATTGGGCACTCAAGCTGACTCATCAGGCATGACAGGCTGCCTATCCAGCTGAGACAACAATCTTACCATAGCCAGGCTGCCTGACTTCTCTTCCCAAGCCAAACAAGTAGTGATACCTGCCATGGAGACCAAGGACCAAATCTGAATGACCCAAGGACCCAATCCTCATTTCACCACCCCTTCTAAATTCCTAGATCTGTTGTTAATACTAGAGGACAAAAACCTTCTGATACTCTGTGTTGCTACAGAACAAACTGTAGCTTTGTTTTTTCTGGCAAAGATGGTCAAAAGCAAATGTTTCTGAGTGGTTGACAAATTTTGAACATATACAGATACCTATAACTTGTTCTACCTTTACTACAATGTTCAATTACTTTTCGAGGAAGGAATTATGCCATACTCTTGTAGACATTAGTAAAAATTAGTACTTACCACGACAGATTGGCCTGTGGTCACTCCAAGCTGCCAGCGTATCTGTCACTCTCTGACAAGTGATGCTCTTAGAACCTTGGAGCACATAATTATCTTCACAGGAGAACTGTACACTAGCACCCACCCTGGAGAAGAGAGAGAAAAGTGGAAATAAAAAAATATAGTTTGTTGCAGGCAGGCACCATCATGAATTCTTCACCAAAGGGCAAATACAAAAATATGATTTCTAGACCCTAACAAGTTACAAAGGAAAATGTTACCATACATACTCTCCAATATTTAACTGGAAAAGGCTTATATCTGGAGAAGAAACACACTTTATGTAATCCATCCAACATTAAAAGAAATGAAAATGTATAATTCATCAGACCATATGCTATCTCACTTTCTATCTGGAACAGGTTATCCAGACAGGCTGTGGACTCTCCATCCTTTGCAGTTTTTAGGACCTGGCTAGACAAAGCATTGTCTGGGATGGTATAGTTAAGGATGATCCTGCTTTGAGCAGGGGGTTGGACTAGATGACTTCCTGAGGTCACTTCTAACCTTAATATTCTATGATTCTATGAGAAGTGCCTAAGTGTCAGATCCTAGTCGACCTAGTAGACATATAAATGGAAATAAGCACCTAAGCGTGTTCCTAATCTACCTCATTCAAATTCTTGATAATCCATTGTGTGATTTATTTTGTGATATATTGATGTCTACATCATAAAAAGTCATAAAAAGGCTAAAACATAAAAAGCAGCAAGAAGACGTCTGTATTAATAATTTCATTTTCCACCTTTTGTATTAAGGGGTTGACAGTGACCCAGGCAGGGTGAAATGGGACCCCATTTCAGCACTTAAATTCACTTAGGCATGTAATAGGTGAAGCAAGATTTGATCCACTGTGTCAAATTTAGCCCTCCTTAATTTGACTTCAAAAAGTTAATCCAAGGGTAAATTTGGTGTTAAATATAGAGAAAGCTGAAACCTTTACACTCCAGAATCACAGAATCATAGGGTTAGAAGGGACTTTAAGAATAATTCAATCCACCCCTTTGTATAAATGTAGGACTTCTATTTCAAAAACATGCCAGTCAAATAGTATCCAGCCTTCCCTTGAAAACCTCCTGTGAAGGATATCCTACAAACTCTGCTCAGCTGTTTGTTTTACTCCCTTACTCTTCTAATAGTAAGGGATTTTTTTTTTACCAAGGTCTAATCTAAAAGTTCTTGGCTACAATTTACAACTGTTGATCTGTTCCCTGCTGCCAATGACCATTTTTAATCCTCTTCTTTGGCTTTCAAATATCTTGGCAACTGCTATAATAGCAAGGACTTCCCCTTGCTCCTCCCCCCACATCTCCTCTTCTCCAAGATAAATATATCTAGCTCTTTCAACCTTGCTTAATATGGCTTGACTTCCAACCCCTTTATTTATGGTTATATGACTGTGGACTCTCTGCAACTTCTCCACTCCTTTAAATTCAGAGCCCCAAGCTGCACACAGTACTTGAAATGAACCCTAATCAATAATGAGTAGCATGGTGCTATCACCTTCATCTCTTAAGGTGAAGTTACATATTATACTTAGACTCAATTAAGGACACTTAAAACATGAGCCCATTAAAACTTGTTAACTCATGCTAAGTGTCCTGTTAGTGTTTCAAAGGTACACCACTTCAGGCAAGGGTTAACTACAGGCTGCGCCATGCACTTGTGTTACAGTAACTTTAGTCTGCTCCAGACAGACAAAATCAGCAATTATGAATCCTCCAGAAATCTAGGACACACCACTCACAGCCCCTCCTCTCTACAGAGCAATGATAGAGCTCAGGTGCCCTGGTTCTCAGTCATGTCCCTGCTCATCAGCTCATGAGCGGCAAGTCAGAACTGTTCAGGCAAGAAACAGTAGAAACACTTAACATGTAACTACTCACAGTTGTTGCATCTACATGAGCCACTAAATGTACAGTAGACAAATTTTACTGCACATATTAGTGCATCATGGCAAAAGACATGCTATTGGCATCATGAAAATGCATGTGCCGGTGCTACTGCAGAGTAGCACAGGTTACTGTGCATTCAGTTAGTGCCTGTTATTACAAGGTGCCTGTACATGAGTCCAGCGGCTGCTCCAATGTGCCATAATTACAGAGCATTAGATTAGACTCAATTAATTGAATCTGCTGAAGTGTGGTAATTACCACACTCCAGCCAGCTCTCGTTTCATGTATCAGGATCCCTGTGCTTCAAAATGGCAATAGCGCTACTTTATCTAAAGCTCGTTTGACAAGCTTTAGATAAAGTGCCCCAGTGCCATTTTGAACCGTGGGGATGCGGCAGCATGAGACACTCTTGTGCGCTTTAATTAGAGCATCTTTCAGAGCTCTCGGAGCTGCTGTAGTTAAAGTGCCGTACCCACCCCACCAATCCCAGTGTATATGTAAAAATGTTCACGGGTGCTAAACTAAATGTGCAGCAACTACAGTACATTAATGCATGCGTAGGTGTGCCCAGTGTGTGCTAACTTTAGCACTGGGCACATCTACAATATGAGCTGTAATTACAGATGTAACACCATAGATTTAGCATGAGTTAAGTGTAACGTGTAATTTCACAATATTGCATTTGCTTTTTTTGCAACTGTATAAAAATGCTGATTCAGGATCCACCAAAACTCCCAGATCCTTCTTATCAGTGTTCCTACCCAGTCAGTTATTTCCCATTCTGTACTTGCGTGTTTGGCTGTTCTTCTCTATATGTAGCACTACATCTGCCTGTGTTGCACATCATTCTGTAGTTTCTACCGCAGCATTCTGAGACTCTTTTGAGTTTGATTTCTGTGTTCCAGAGTGTTTGCAATCCTTCCAGAGTTTGTCATCTGAAAATCTGATCAGGGAGCTCATTATTCTGGCATCCAAATAATTAATAAATGTGTTTAAGAGCACCAGACTTAGAACAGATCCCTGTGGAACCACACTTGCAACCTCTTGGCATTTATAATTACCTTTTGCTTGAGGTCGTTGAGCCAATTATGTATTCATCTTACAGTAATTTTATCCAGCCCACATATCTCCAGTTTACTGTGTTGAGTTGACTACTGAAAGAATGGCTATCACTACATTATACAACATCTATATATTTTAAAAGCCCACTACTTGTTGTCATAGTACAGAAACAGAACATCCATGGCCCAATGAAGGGCAGTTAGGGGGTTATAAGTAAAAAAAAATACAGCAGTGATGTGGACCACTAGAGAACACTGGAACACTAGATAAGACCAAGTTGATGGAATTTTTTCTAATGTAATGATTTTCCATTGGAAATACTGATTTGATTAAATTTGAATTTATAAAGGGAATGTATTGACTGTACTGTATGTTCAGTGAAAACTTATAAAAAGTGGGGGTTTAGTAATGCATTAAGAAAAAGTAATGCATTAAGAAAGTAAGTTGTATGAATTAATGCATTAAGAAAAATATAATCCTTTAACTTTGGGAATTTCTCTAAATAATTTTCTCAGCCAGTGGGCCATTACACTCTGGGGAAGGATCGGAAAAGGTAATTGAAAAGGGATACAATGATGAAAATTTTGGGAACTTGTGCATGTAACAAAAATGTTTGTTTTTGCACTTTAATTGCATCATGCTGTATACATGCAGGGTTTTTTATGATTTAAATGAGTTTGCTATGTTGCAAACTAAACTACATTTGGATGTGTCAATGAAAATTATTAGATTTGTGTGCTGCCAATACAGGAGAGTCAATCCTGACATGTGCAGACAGCCTAGGCTGCATGCCCTCTGCTCGACCCCTGGGCCTGTCAGTCATCCGTGACCTACTTTTCAGCTTCGCACATGCTCAGTTGCCCACAAAACCTGACCAGGTGCATGCTCAGTCTTTCTGCAGCATGACATACTCTGACTAGAAATTTCTTTGCAGGATAGGATCTGATTGGCCACTAAATTCGTATAAAGACCAGTAAGCTCCCACCAAGGGGGTGGTGGAGTTGTGGAGAGTTGGGGGAGAGTTACTGATTAATTGTCGGAGGTGTGAGCGGTCGTTGGCCTTGTGAGAAGAGGGAGAGCTGCTCGATCTGTTAGCAGAGGCTGCTTTCAGCAGGGACTGCGAAACAGAGAAAGATTGGGATCTCAATCCCCAGGTCCTCTCCTCACGACCCAACAATAGTTTTCGCATTGATTCTTCTGGTGTATGACTGATCTCGGCACCGGTTACTGACAACGATTTGGATCACCCTTGACTACCCTGATGATGGTTTTTGGCTTCTTCTACCTGGCACTTGACCTCGGCACAGCTATTCGACCATCCGTTTGTCCACTTGGACTGGCGTCACGACTCAGTCTTCGTTCTTCGTTGTCACAGTTTTGTTGTTCGTTCTGTTCCTTTAATGAGCCGTTGACCAGCCCTGGGACTATTAAGTTGAGCAGCCGCCCCTAGCTCCGGCTAGATAGCAAGGGCTCACTTAAGAACCCCGTGGGCCAACCGACCCCTCCGTTGTTTGTATTTACTGTAACTGAAGAAAGCAACTCTACCTACGCCTTCTAAGTGTAAGTCAAATAAATCACCTTTGTGATTTATTTAAAACCACTACGCTTACGTGCCTCAGAACTCCACGCCAGAAATCCCGCCTGTTCCGTATCCAATTGCCGCCACTCAGCCGCCCCACCATGACCACGACCATGAGCTTGGCTCACCAGCTCCGTGTTGTGTTGACAGGATGTAGTTTCAAATTAAACGACATCCACTTGTAATTTAGTTTGAAATGTAGCTATTTGTAATGTTGTGGCCTGTGACACTGCAGGAGAGGTGGGCTGAAGGCAGAAATGGCGAGGGGCCCAATTTTTTTTTGTTTTTATTTGTGGAGCCTGCCCACATCTCCCGTGGTTGCAGGGTGAGCTGCTAGTGGACCGAGTGGCCCCTGAGCTGCAGAGGACCCCAGTCCTTCCTTCCATGGTGGCAGTGCCTCCTGGGGTTGCCAGGGCAGGCTGCTAATGGGTAGGTGCTGCCCCAACTCAGACTCAGGGAACAGTTGGATTGGGTTGGGTTTGAGCTGGGTCAGGGCCCACCCGCTAGCCACACACTCTGGTGGCCGCAGGGGGTGCCACCACCATGGAGG